AGATTCTTTTTAATATCGTATTCAAATTCTATTTAAATCGGACCAAATTAATTTTCACTTTTAGGACAGAATTTTAAAAATAAATTAAGTAAAACTTGTGAAATATTGCCATCATTCCAGAACCAGGAATGTTCATTTAAAGTATAGAGAAGCAGAGAAGTGCACAGAAAGCCACATTAAGCCACAAGCCTTTGCCTTTGCCAGCACTGTATGTAGTATTCCATTCCTAAAGTTTAGTAGTTAAATAATTTAGATCCAAGGCGTAAAGACAGTGGAATTTTTAGGTCCTCCATTTTTTGGCAGAGGAGGCAAAACAGAGTTTTAAAAACTTTTTGCAATGTGTTAAGCCTTTTCAAAATTGGTTAGTACACTTTTATTATTATTATTATTATTATTTTGCTTGTTACCCTTTTGTTTCCAAGTCATTAACAAACAGAAGGCAATCATGTTATTGTTGTTAAAAGATTTATTGCTGAAGTTTGGCAGTATGATTTGGGGGAGGCATTCATTTAAAATCCACATTTGTGGATCCAATGAAACTGATCTGCATATAGAGGTTTGGCTCTCCCTTAGCTACAGAGCCTACCTAATCCTGCCCAAGAGCAACACTAAAATAAATTAATGCTTTTTGTTCCAACTTTTCAGTGCATTGTAATTTGTCCTTGCTACTTGTGAGATTGGATAGTTGGAACCAAACAATTGCTCCACTGATTTTTTTGTTTGTTTTTTTTATCCCGCCTTTATTATTTTTATAAATAATTGAAGGGGGCGAACATACTAATACTCCTTCCTCTTCCTATTTTCTCCACAACAACAACCCTGCGAGGTGAGTTGGGCTGAGAGAGAGTGACTGGCCCAAAGTCACCCAGTCGAATTTTCATGCCTAAGGTGGGACCAGAACTCACAGTCTCCTGGTTTCTAGACTGGTACCTAGACAATAGAAAATTACACTTAATTTTACTTTTGTATCTGTTACAAGCATGTGTTAAAATATGAACAAGTATGAAGTTTACTGCAGTATGCAATGTATTCAACTAACCTTTATTACAGCTATCTTCTGGGATTAGATGGGATTACAGTATGGACAGTACATAAGCTTTCCTCTCCTTACTCAACCCAGTTTGTTGCCCACAAGAACATGTGAACAAATAATTCTACTAGGCCACCTACACCTGGTGATAAATAGCTTTCCACTGGAGTCATTCTGTTAGTTTTTTTCTCCCCAAGGGAATATTTGTAATTACAGCTTGTTGCCCCTAAAAAACCTAGTTCAACACACAATACAATTTCTGTTTCTCAGCATCATTCAGAGGCTTTTTGTGTTTATTATATTTTTATCAAAAAGTTGCCATTAAAAGAGAAATAAACAATCTATTTCCAGTGGCACACTGTAGGAAATAAGTAACAAGAATATCAGTAGTATTATCCTTTGTGTTACATAATTACTTAATATATTCAGTAATGTACGATCTAATTACATTAGTATATCTGTGGTGCTAATTACTTGCATTTCTAGGATTTTTTAAAAATTCCTATTAACATCACACTAACCACATTTTCTATCCCTTCAGTTTATACTCTATACAGTATGTTACTGAGCACAGATTAAAGTGTTAACCATCTCATAAGAAATGTTGAACATTGAAATGTCACATAATAAGAAAGCTTACCCTTATTGGCAATTTGAAGACTTAGCACTGTGCATGAGATGTCACCAAAAGGCACACTTGAAAGTCACACTGAACAAAAGATAGTGGATACAGGTAATATGCAGTTTTTGCACCTTAAAAATAATCCAAACCGATGATTTGGGGTATAGCAGAAATGCCGTGGAGTTTTATCCAAAGTTTAAGTACTGTATGAGGAAGGTGTATTTTGTATGTACTGTATATTAAACAGAAATGTTCACTACATATATATTAAAACTATGGTCATACATTTTGTGATATGATTTAAACTCAAGATAATCTAGTGCAGTGGTTCTCAAACATTTTGGTCTCAGGACCCCTTTACGTTCTTAAAAATGATTGAGGACCCCAAAGAGCTTTGGTTTATG